TCCTCAGGTAACCTAAGGGCCTCCAAAGATCACTATTAACATAACAAAGGCACTTTTCTCCATTTCTCACTTGGAAATCCCTTGGGTGCTGGAAGCTCTGTGCCAGGAACCAGGGCTAAGAACCAAAAATGTATATTTATATGCATCATAAATCAGTGTCACGGTTTTGCACTCTGAGATGGACAGGCCATCCTGGAGTATCTGAGTGAGCACAATCTAATCCCACTAGTCCTTAAAACTGAAGAACGTGTCCTGGCTGGGGTAGGACGAGATGTGGTGAGGGCCCTGGCCTGAGTGGCCGGCACGGCTCAGCAGCCCAGAGTGGACCTAGGATCCAGGAGATCGCGGTTTGATTCCCAGTCAGGGCACATGCCCGGGTGGTGGGCTCGATCCCCAGTAGGGGGTGAGCAGAAGGCAGCCAATCAATGACTCTCATCATTGATGTTTCTCTCTCTCTCCCTGAAATCAATGAAGACATATATTTTAAAAATTAAAAAAAATAATGGATCACTGCCCCAGTCAGTTTTGCTCAGTGGTTAGAGTGTCGGTCTGCAGACTGAAGGGTCCTGGGTTCGATTCCAGCCCAGGGCATGCACCTTGGTTGCAGGCTTGATCCCTGGCCTCAGTTAGGGCGCAAGTGGGAGGCAACTAATCAATGTGTCTCTCTCACATCCATGTTTCTCTATCTCCCCCTTCCACTCTTTCTGAAAAGCTATGGAAAAAATATCCTTGGGTGAGGGTTAAAAAAATAAATAAATAAAAATTAAGGACCATGGAAAATACATGGGATCAGAAGTGAAAGAGGGAGCAAGCCCAGGAACGGGGAGGGGGGCAGCGGCCTGGGGGTGCTGGAGGTTGTGAAGAGGCCGCAGAGGGAGGCTCCAGCCAGCACCCCATTCACAGAGGGGGCTCCAGCCAGCACGCCCTTCACAGAGGGGGCTCCAGCCAGCACCCCTTCACAGAGGGAGGCTCCAGCCAGCACCCCATTCGCAGAGGGGGCTCCAGCCAGCACCCCATTCGCAGAGGGGGCTCCAGCCAGCACCCCCTTCGCAGAGGGAGGCTCCAGCCAGCACCCCCTTCACAGAGGGGGCTCCAGCCAGCACCCCATTCACAGAGGGAGGCTCCAGCCAGCACCCTATTCGCAGAGGGGACTCCAGCCAGCACCCCATTCGCAGAGGGAGGCTCCAGCCAGCACCCCCTTCGCAGAGGGAGGCTCCAGCCAGCACCCCCTTCACAGAGGGGGCTCCAGCCAGCACCCCATTCACAGAGGGAGGCTCCAGCCAGCACCCTATTCGCAGAGGGGACTCCAGCCAGCACCCCATTCGCAGAGGGAGGCTCCAGCCAGCACCCCCTTCACACCCGGGCAAATCCTGGAAGTGCCCTAAACAGGGGCGGGGGAGTGGCTGGCTCGGAAGGCAGGGACGCCTGGGCCGGAATCCGCAGCTTCGGCATCGCCAAGTTCAACCTTCGCTCCACCTCTTGCAAAACGCGCGCCGAGCGCGATGCCCCCGCCCTTTCTGCGCGGCGCCCCTTCTCCACGGGGGGACTAACGCTACTTAAGGCTGGTGCGAGCGTGGAGGAGGGACCGGTGCGCGGCACCCCGCAGGCGCCGGACCCCCGGCGGTTCCAACGGCGGTGGAGGGACCCGGGGAAAGGCTGTGACACCGAGCCCGGCCCCAGCGCAGAAGTTTCGGCAGAACTTCTGGGCGGCTGCGCGCACGCGCGGTCCCCGTCGGGCGCGGGCACTGCGCATGCGGCGGAAGTGGCCGCCGGNCTCACCCACCCATCCCTTCACCCGCCCACTCACCCATCCATCCCTCCACTCACCCACCCACTCACCCATCCATCCCTCCACTCACCCATCTGTCCCTTCACCCACCCACTCACCCACCCATCCCTTCACCCGCCCACTCACCCATCCATCCCTCCACTCACCCACCCACTCACCCATCCATCCCTCCACTCACCCATCTGTCCCTTCACCCACCCACTCACCCACCCATCCCTTCACCCGCCCACTCACCCATCCATCCCTCCACTCACCCACCCACTCACCCATCCATCCCTCCACTCACCCATCTGTCCCTTCACCCACCCACTCACCCACCCATCCCTTCACCCGCCCACTCACCCATCCATCCCTCCACTCACCCACCCACTCACCCATCCATCCCTCCACTCACCCATCTGTCCCTTCACCCACCCACTCACCCACCCATCCCTTCACCCGCCCACTCACCCATCCATCCCTCCACTCACCCACCCACTCACCCATCCATCCCTCCACTCACCCATCTGTCCCTTCACCCACCCACTCACCCACCCATCCCTTCACCCGCCCACTCACCCATCCATCCCTCCACTCACCCACCCACTCACCCATCCATCCCTCCACTCACCCATCTGTCCCTTCACCCACCCACTCACCCACCCATCCCTTCACCCGCCCACTCACCCATCCATCCCTCCACTCACCCACCCACTCACCCATCCATCCCTCCACTCACCCATCTGTCCCTTCACCCACCCACTCACCCACCCATCCCTTCACCCGCCCACTCACCCATCCATCCCTCCACTCACCCACCCACTCACCCATCCATCCCTCCACTCACCCATCTGTCCCTTCACCCACCCACTCACCCACCCATCCCTTCACCCGCCCACTCACCCATCCATCCCTCCACTCACCCACCCACTCACCCATCCATCCCTCCACTCACCCATCTGTCCCTTCACCCACCCACTCACCCACCCATCCCTTCACCCGCCCACTCACCCATCCATCCCTCCACTCACCCACCCACTCACCCATCCATCCCTCCACTCACCCATCTGTCCCTTCACCCACCCACTCACCCACCCATCCCTTCACCCGCCCACTCACCCATCCATCCCTCCACTCACCCACCCACTCACCCATCCATCCCTCCACTCACCCATCTGTCCCTTCACCCACCCACTCACCCACCCATCCCTTCACCCGCCCACTCACCCATCCATCCCTCCACTCACCCACCCACTCACCCATCCATCCCTCCACTCACCCATCTGTCCCTTCACCCACCCACTCACCCACCCATCCCTTCACCCGCCCACTCACCCATCCATCCCTCCACTCACCTCTTCACTCACCCATCCCTTCACTCATTCATTTACTCACTCATTCACTCACTCACCCACTCACTCACTCATTCACTCACCCACTCATCCCTTCACTCATTCATTCACTCACTCACACATTCATTCACTCACTCACCCACTCACTCACTCACTCATCCTTTCACTCATCCCTTCACTCATTCACCCACCTGCTCACTCACCCATTCACTCATTCATTCATTCACTCACTCATTCATTCACTCACTCACTCACCCCTTCACTCATTCATTCACTCATTCACTCACTCATCCCTCCACGCATTTATTCACTCAGTGACTCACCTATTCACTCAGTCACTCAAGTCACTCATCCATTCACTCAATCACTAATTCACTCAGTCACTCATTCATTCACTCATTCAGTCCCTCATTCTTTTCACAGCTGGTGGTTCATCACCTGATGGGTTCTGATGCCAGAGCAAATGATCCAATACTGGCACAGTGGTTAAAAGTGAACCAGGGAGCCCTGGCTGGGTAGCCCAGTTGGTTAGAGAGTCGTCCCCATACACCAAGGTTGTGGGTTCAATCCCCAGTCAGGGGACATATAAGAATCAACCAACAAATGCATCAGTAAGGGTAACAACAAAACCTGTGTTTCTCTCTCTCCCCTTCCTCTGTCTCTCTCAAATCAATCAATAAATTAAAAAATTAAATTAAAAAAAAAGTGAACCATAGAGCCCAGCTTGGCTTCCACCCTGTGCTTGCCAACTGTGTCCTTAGGCACCTTGGGTTCTTCCTCTCAGAGGTGAGAGTTAAGACTAAGGAAGCAGGCTGTGGTCCGGTCCTTGGGGGCCTTTTAAATCTATCTGTGGAGTTTAAATCTTAGATTAATGGGAAGTCACTTAAGAAGCAGGTTCTTGGATGAGAAAGATCACTCTGGCTGTGTGCAAAATGTCTTCAAGGGAGTGACCTGGAGGTCAGTTAGATTCTGCTAGAGTATTTCAGGTGAGAAATGAGGGTGGCCCCAGCAGACCCACAATGGTCCAGTTTACCATTAATTAAGCACATGCTCCGCGCCAGGCTCCGTGCTTGGTGCTCTGCATTTGCTTGTGTTTGATGGATGAATAGAAGGTCATCCCTGAGGGAAGCCAGTAGGTACCCTTTGGGTTCTCATCACATTTTCCACTTGGGTGTCTTTGATTCAGGTAATGAGTGGGAGGAGGAGAGCCAAGCTGGAGTTTACCCAAACTGTCAGAAAAGGGTACCCTGGGCTCCTTGGAAACCTGAGGTATGTCTGTAATAATCAAGAATGAGACGAACCAGCAGGTCAGTTTGTTTCTCCTACTCAGGGCTCTGTGTGATTCAGATCACCCCTTTAGGATAGATTTTTCTTTAAAATTACACAAATGACAAAAATCCTAGTTTAGGGGAAATTATTGATATTATTGTTGTTTTACCAACAAAGACTGGACTAAGTTAATCCCTGGGCAGAGCTCACACCTTGTTTTAATTAAGTACAATCTTAAAATGCTCCAACAAAGCAATCCCAAAATCTGGTGGCTGAAACAAAATAGAAGTTTATTTCTTGCCCCTTGTTAGTCCAGAAGTAGGCGGCCCAGAGCTGGCAGCGCATCTCGCTCTGTTTTGTGAGGTCATCCAGGGGCTGGGTTCCACCGAACATGTGGCTCTCCTTGCTCAAAGCTAAGCTTCTCCCTCATGGTCCAAGCTGGCTGCTTCGGCTCCTGCCATCATGTGTGCACTCCAGTTGGCAGAAAGGGAAGGACTGAGCGGGAGGCACACACTCATTCCTTTTACAGTCCTAATGTTTAAAGATACCTGTTTTTGTACAACATGTCCCCAAATATAAGCATCTGGGTACAAACAAAGAAGCAATCACGACTGTACCAGTGCTGGAGGGAAAGCTGGCTGAGACAACCTGCTTGGTCCCCTACGGAATGGGATTGCTGACTCTAGGGCTTGGGCCCAGCCTGAGGGGAAGTCTGCCGTGTTGGTCACAGAGGGCTGGGCATGCTGCTTCCCAGGCCCCCATCTCTCCAGGGCAGGCTGCTCGGGCTTGGGTAGGTTTGTGTTGCTTGTGCCCGGGGAATCCAGGCCCATTTCTGCATTTAGCATTTTCTGTGCATGTCAGACACTGTGCCAGGTGCTAGGGATGTGGATGTGAGGCCGGAACTCTTAGCCATATGGATGATCACAGCACGTGTTCAGAAGTGTGTGGTACCCAGAAGGGAGATGGACGTTGGGGTGCTCTGCTGAGGCGGTGAAGATTTAGGGTGAATAACCATAGAGGTCCCCTCACGTAAAGGCCACAGGGACCCTGGTATCGGGTGTGGATCCCTGCTTCCCTCTTTAGTGGCGCCGTGTCCTGAGGTCCAGCTCCTGCGTTGCTGCACCTCAGTTTCTGTATCTGTAAAATGGGGGTAACAACCCCATCGCACAGGGTTGTTTTGGGGATCATGTGGGCATCAAGCACGTAATTCGCAGGGTCTGATGTGCACGTCAGTACCTCCCGCTGCAAGGTGCTGGATGGTTTCAGGCGGGAGAAGCCAGTGAGGATTGCACCTGCAGAGACCTAAACCTGGGGGCAGCCAGGAGGCTGTCCTCCCTTGAGGCGGGGTTGCCCGGGGGGTGCAGGACTGCTCTGTGCCTTCCCTGTCTTCCTCAGGAGTGCCACCGACTTCCTAATTAAAGTTGGTGTCCGGTCCTGGCCGGGTGCCCTAGTTGGTTGGCGTGTCATCCCATGCACCAAAAGGTGGCGGGTTCGATTCCCGGTCAGGGCACATTCCCAGGTTGCGGGCTCAATCCCTGGTCAGGGTGTGTGCAGGAAGCAACCGACTGGTGTTTCTCAGAGACCATACTCTGCAAAGTCTGGCGAGGAGTCCTTTGGAAGGGAAAGGCTCCCTTCCCAACTCGAAGGCTTCTAGGAAGCCTTCTCTGAGCCCTGCCCAGCCCCCACCACAGCTGAGTCTGGGCCCCTCCTCTGTGATTTCTTAGTATCCTCATATTATAATCATAGGCTTGCTTGTCTGTCTCCCTGCTAGACCCCCAGCACCTTGCATGGGGGGACAGAGCCCGGTTTCTCCTGGTGTCCCCCCTGTGTGGCTCCTTTCCTGGCACACCACGGGCGCTCTGTAAACGTTGGGCGGATGGATGATCAGCTTTGATTGGCTGGGGAGGGACTGGCAGCTGGGGCTGGAGGGGACTGCAGTGTGGTGTGTGATGTGGGGTTGGCGTGCTGTCGATGGAAGAGAGGAGGACCTGGTGGTGTGTTTGGTGTCTGGCTGTCCTATGGGAGGTAGATGTGGAGAACTCGGACCTAAGCGACGAGAGTTCAGGGCAGAAGCTAGTTTCTCTGCCTGTCTGTCTGTTCCCAGCAGAGCAGGGTTTCTCAGCCTTGATGTTATTGACATTTGGGGCTGGGTACGTTTGTGGGGGGCTGTTTTGGATGCTTAGTAGCAACCCTGCCTCAACACGTAGATGCCAGTAGTACCCACTGACTCCAGCTGTGACAGCTGAAAACATCTCCAGACATTGCCAAACATCTGGGGCAGAGTCGCCCCAGTTAAGAAGTCCTGTGAAGGGCACCACAGAGAAGCAAGAGCTAGGTCGGACGGACCGGGTTTCCCTCTTCCTCATGCTGACCTGCTGTCTGCCTCTGGGCGAGGGCTCGGCCTCCTTACGCCTCAGTTTCCTCAGCTGTGAAACGGGGAGACTGCTGACCTCCCACATAGCTTCACTGGGTGGGATGATTGACGAGGCGGTGCGTGTAGGGTGCGGAGCTGGGGCCCTGACTCCATAGTGGGTAGCTCGTGTTATTATGTTTGTGAGGAAAAGACCCTTGAGAGGGTCAAGAGAGAAAGTGTGTAGTTGAGGAAGAAGGAATGCTCGGTGTGGGAATGCAAGGCCAGGCGGACGGAGTGTCCCAAAGGATGGTGCCTGCGTGGGCGGCAGAGGTCCTCAGATGCGGGTCTGGCAGGGTGGCGCGTCATTGGGTGATGGACACCACAAAGGGGAGGGACCCCCAACCTTAGAGAAAGCGAAAAACTGCAACTACATTATGTGCACAAAGCATATTGTCCTGAAGGCCACATGTGCTTCTTTTACTGGCCACAATTTTATATTTATTTTTTTGGTAAGAGAAAGTGTACTTAGAAAGTTACAGAGGCAAAAGAAGGGGCCCTTGGAGCTTAGGAGAGAGGTAAAGGGAATGGGCCTTGGGGGAAGAAGAGGGGAGGGAAGGCGTGGG